AGAATGACATTGAAAATAATAGACATTTGAAATGAGACAAATGTGGGGCAAAGAATAACAAAATTATACAGAGATTTTTAAAGCGATGAAAGAAACCTTCCAGGAGGTCATTAGAAAAAATTCTTGCAAGCTCCGCATAACTCTGCCTGCTTATGCTTCTTCTGTCATATTCTCTGAGCTTCTTAGGCACTCTGTTCCCATGTCCCTTCTAAAAGTTACTCACTTGCATTCTTGTTTTCTTTATTGCTCCTTTTAGGGTGCCCTGCAAATGTGCAGCATCTTTTTTTTTTTTTTTTTTTTTTACTTTATGTGTAAGGACTGTGCATTTGCGATCTTCTCTTTTAGATTAAACTCACACCCCTGAAGCCTTCTAAAACTTGATCCTAATGATGGCATCTCTTCTGACCCTAGGCAATGGCCTAGCCTATTGTCCCTGCATGACTCTATGATCCCTAGGACAGAGGCAAAGACATACTTTACACAAGCAACTACTGATTCAAGATCATTCCACTAATAAGTACCATCTAGAGACACATGCTTTACGCTATCCAACAATCATTATCTGATAGTCTTTGAAACGGGTCTCTACATTTGGACTGAATGTTTGTGAATCACTTAAAAATTTGGAGCATTTTCCCAATTTTTAGAATAATATACTGTATAAATAGTCTATATAAAATCTCTTCAGGTGTCTGTTTGGGATTGTGCTCTTACTAAGTTTTGTCACAATGCAATGCTGTGGGTTAGCTGAGAGAATAGAAGAAGTTTCCAACAGTAATGAATCTGCCACTCTAATAATTTATGAGCCACTTTTACAAACATAAGCTATCAGATAGAAGCAGGAGGAATAATAGAATATAACTTCTGCTTTACAATAGTCTGTTATACAGAAAGACAAAGGCGCCTGTACTCTAAGGAAGCTGTCAGCAAAGTAGCAGGCTGGAGGTCCCAGGATCACTTACAGTACTGGCAAGCAGGAGGTCATTTCTGGGGAATGAAGCTTGAGGAGGGAAGCAAAAGGAAAAGGCTATGGGGGGCTAGAAGGGGAGAATCAAGGATCTTTCTTCACCATTCTCTTTTTATAGCTTTTGTGTGTCTGGACTGATTTGTTGTGGGAGAGCTGCTGGAGACAGTGTATTTGGCACAGGACAGGACAGCTCTAAGCCAAAAGGATGGTGCTATTGCCAGTTTAAACCATGGCTTTTCTTTTCTTTTTCTTTTTCTTTTTTTTCTCTTTCCCCCTCCCTTCTTTTTCTTTGAAGGAAGGAAAAGAAAAAAGGGGAAGAAAGAGACTTGCAATGAAAACCAGATCAGTGGGTTAACAACGACCCTGCAGGCTTCAGTAGACTGGAAAGATACACGAGGCACTTCCTCTACCATCTGGCATGCAATTCTGCTGCTGCTGCTGCTTTAGTACATAACTTCAGAGTGAATAAGCAAACAAGTAAAACTTTTTTTAAGAGACACCAATTATGAAACACCAGCTATTAATCTGTCAGCTTACTCTCTTCCGTTTTCTTCCACCACAGTATTCCTTTCCTCAAGTCTTTTCCAGTTCTCTTGTCTACCTGTGAAAATAGGCACTGCCTTGTCATGTTTTCAGATGACTCCATTCACCTTTTATTTGGTGTTGCTTCTCAGGATGAATGAAGGCCAGAGCTAATACATTCATATTTTTCTTGTAATCACTTTAGCTTCTTTAACTCCAAGTCAGATAGAAACGCAGTTAGTAGAAATAAAGCCATCCATTGCTGTTGAATGATTTCCTTCAAGTCTGGCTAGCAGTGAGAATGCAGAAGAGAAGTTTTAGGTGAGCTGAGCTTGCTCAAGGACTGTTTAAAATGAAGTCACAAATGGCTGGGTACATTGCTGTGTAGGAGTATCTTTAAGGTCTGATGGCTTTTCTCAAGTGCGATGAAAAGCATGATGTTGAGGTCACATCTTCAAGTTAGGTAAAATATTACACCACAACTGAAGTCAGAGAAACAGAGAACTTGCAAAATCTGAGCATTTTATCAATTAGAAGTCTCTGAGAATGATGATACAACTGATTTTGAATGCTAAAAGACCTCATAATCAAATATAGATCTTCCAGGCCTTCCTGTGACCAGCTTTTATGTGGCTCCATTCTTATAACAAAAAAGACAAAAAGAAAATCAGTTACAGAAGAATCTTGGATGAATTAAGGATAAGTAATCATTGCATTGTAGTACAACTGAAGCAGAAGTTTATTAAGAATGAGATGCATTAATTTACAGACACACCCACTAATGCCAAGCAACAATTTTTACACTTTTTTTTTTTTTTTTCATTTGCAACTGCTGATCCTTACACTGGCCAGGATTTAAAAAAGAAAATCCAGCCTATCTAGAACAGTTGCTTTTATTTGACACTAATTTTCCAAGGAAAAAAAAAAGTACATACTGTCTGTTAGGTTTATTATATAGTTTCTTGAAATACAGAAACTGTAACAACAACAGTTTTCAGTTTCAGTTTGGTTTTTGACTGGCCCCCTGCTTTGCACCTGTAGAACTGTAAGTGAAAACAAATACAACAATTAATCCTTCAGTTCTGACTGCCTGATCCTATCCATAAGACAAGACAGGTACATACCCAAGTGGCCCAACTACAGGTGGTACAAAATTTTCACATATTTAAGGATACAAAAAGGTAGCGTAGACTTTAAAAACTCAGAAGATTGCTATTGCTGTTACCAAAAACAGCCGGTGGTGAAGTTCTGTTAAACACCTAAATATTCAGATATTAATCTAAAAATTGGTCTGGACACCTGCGAATATACTCACTGTCTTTCAAGACATCTTGTATCTTTTATCATAGAATCAGAATGATCGGGAAAGATTTCCAAGATCGAGTCCCACCTTGGCAGAATACCACCTTGTCAACTAAACCATAGCACTAAGTGCCACATTCAATCATTTCTCGACCACTTTTTGCATCCAGTAAAGCTGGAAATGCCAGAAGGACAGCCTTAATTTCACAGTGCTCTGGCACATATGCTCTTTGCCCCGATGGGGACCACAGAGCACGGAGGTAAACAAAGAGGAAAAACAGTAACTGAAAAAAGTTACTGCAACTCCTTGCAGCTCAAAACCAAAATTAATTAGTTGGTGTGTAAGGTTTAAACCACCCAATAGGCAAAGAGTCTTCAAAGTCTTTTGGACTTCAATTGCCTGGTTTATCCCTTTCTGACAAGAATATTTCTTTAAAAAGTAATTGCACAACATGCACTAATATGAAAAACCTGCAGTATCTCAAGAAACCATATGACATTAAAAAAAATAAAATTTGCCTTTCTATAAGCACAGATTGTATGAATGTGTTAATGTTTGTGCTACTGTACTGCACCATCTATTTGTTTTCTTTGTTCTTAACCCCTTTGTTTTACGAGTCAGGATATCCTGATGCAAAGGACTCTGCAAAATATCAAGACAACAACAATAGTATACTACTTCAGAAGTGCTTCACAATTTTCAAGGCTAGACTTTTCAAGAGCTAATAATATGGCACTGCAGTCTGTAGTCAAAACTTTTGCAAACCATTAGAGTTGTCAGTTTGAGGTTGGAACATTAAGATAAGCAAGGCAGAGGATCTGTAACAGGGGAAACAGCATGCTGCCCCTGCTTATATTGACGTGAGGAGGAAAGGCTTGTGCGCTCTGTTTTCTACATGTATGGGTGTTAACTTTCAGTCCATTCCCTTGGCTTCTCTTCCTCTGTAAAGGAAGATCCTGCTTGTTTGCCGATTTTCTTTTCCATCCACAGAGATGGTAGAGCATTGAATGTAACTCGGAGAAACTATGCGTGCTAGGAAATATTATAATGTTTACTCAAATCTCATTAAATAAGTCCTCTGCAATTTACTGAAAGTGCAAGTGCTGGTGCAAGAGCTCACCCTCCACCCCACTGCTGTACACTCAGTAAAGTAACAACTAAGGGACAGACCAGTACCGACAGCAGGCTAAAAGGGATATATTGTATAAAGGCAATATAAAAGTTGTGAAAATCGCATGGCCCCTCCGGGTCAGGGATCCCAGGGAAGAGCCGGTGCTGTCGGAGGGCCTGGCCCAAGCCAACACACACGCCCGGGGAAGCGCTCGCTGACAGCTGCACAGCCCCACCACGCCACCTCATTGCTGCTGCATGAGACACAGCAGTGTCCCAGGCGGCTTTCCCTTGTTTTTAAAGATTAGCGATGAATAATTTTCTCCTCGTCGTAGTCTGTGAGCGATCGCTGCCACCAGGCAGTGTCCTAACGTGAACCCGCTCAGGTGGAGCTTTGCAGCCGAAGCGATGAGGATCCCGCACCCTCCCCCTAAACCCTCCTTTCAGCAACTTTTTCCTCCTCGATCCCTTCTCGTGCGCCGGCACCTCCACTGCCCTTCTGCAGGCGCGGTCGGGGGGGCCGTACGAACGCGGGGCAGGCGGGGGCACCGCACGCCGCCAGCGGGGCTTGAGCTCAGCTCCCGGCCCTAGCAGCGTCCCGTGAATCACCGCCCTTCCTCCCGCCGAAGGGCAGCCGAGGTGACGGCGGGGTTTGACTAAGAGGCCAAAACCCCCACCGGCTCCGCAGCCAGCCGGGCGAGGAGGAAGGCGGGGCGGTGGGAGCTCCCCCATGGCATCACCGCAGGGATAAAGTCAAACCGCCCCCGCCGTAGCGCCCAGCGGGGTTTGAGGTCTGAGGGGCGGCTCTGCCGGCGCGGCCCCTCTGCCCGCCACTGCCAGGCTGCGCCAGCCCCCGCTCCGCACCGCCGGCAGCCCGGCCCGAGCCCACGCCCCCGGTCCCGGCGCTGCGCCGCGCCGGTATGAGCGGCGGCCCCGCGCCTGCCCGCCAGCCGCTGCGCCCCGGCTGCCGGCGCCTGGCGGCGGGCTGAGGGCGCGCAGAGGGCGGGCGGCGAGCGCGGCTGCCGGAGCCCGGCGCTCCTTCCTTCCGCGGGGCCGGGCGCGCCCCCTGCGCGGGGCGGCGGCGGTGGGCGGCCGGGCGCCCCCGCCCCGCTCTGGATGCCCATCGCGGCTGCTCCGGCCGGGGGGTGGCTGCAGCTCCGCGGCGCGGGGCGAGGGCCAGGATGCCGGTGCTGGAGCGCTTCTTCCCCGCGGCAGAGCCGGGCAGGCGGAGGAGGACGGGGGAAGAGCCGATGCCCTTTCCCATGGGCAGCCTGCCCGGTTATCAGCAGGGAACCCTGGCCTGGGATTTGCCCGAGATGATTAAGATGGTAAAGCTCGTTTGGAAATCCAAGGGAGAGCTCCGCGGGGCGAAGCACAGAGGGGTTCTGGAGAGCGAGGATGCCCTGGGCGGTTCTGCAGGTAGGTGTCCCCTGCCCTGCTGCTCGGAGGAGCGGGGGAGCACACGCGGCTGGGGGCCGCGGCCGCAGCCGGCCCGTCCCGTCACAGGGCAGAGCCACCTTGGCCCCGGGCTGGAAAGGCGGCCGGGCTGGAAAACGTGCTTTTTTTCTTTTGGCAGCTCCCTCCCCCCGCGGGGACAGGCATACCAGAGTTTGTGTGCCGGATATGAAACCAGGTCCATTTGCCCGTGGCGCTCTCCCGGTCCAATCTGTTGCGTGGTTTTATAGGCAGGGTGATAAAAGCTCGGCTAAAAACTAGAGCAAGTAGCTCCGTGGCTTTGAGGCTGACCTCGGCCAGCCGCTGGGCCGGGTGCCGGCGCAGGGGAGCCTCTGCCCGGCCCGCACGGAGCTCCGCACGGCGGCTCCGCGGTCGCGGTGACGGGGGAGCGGAGCCCCGGGGCCGCCGGGCAGCGCGGCCGCTGCGGGAGCTTCCCCGGTTGCTTTCGTCGTGGCTTTCCGAGCGCATGGCCTGTCCTCTCACGCCGCGGAACACACACCGATCTTTGCGTGCGCTGGGCTCATTTCACACGCTCTGCCCGCGCTTCCCCTGTGCAGAGCGGAGCGACTCCCTTGCGTCTTGTGCGTTGTTGGCCACCAGTATTAAAAGCTTGAGACTAATTCTTGAGGTAACGCTGCCCCATCCCACTGCTTTCTCTTTAAACGTGGTGTATTACTGGCTAAAGAGCACGTGCTTTCCTATTAACTGTATAAATCTTGCATGTCAGTATTTTCCTAACTCACCAACATATGGCACTACATCACAAGATCTGTTGAAGTCCAGGTTAGACTAAACTGCATTTTCATTAGGTAGAGATGAGTTGTCAGGTTAGTATGGTACTTCTGATCTAATTCTGCATCTTGACCCATGCTCTGCTTTGCTTATGGTTCAAAACCTCTTGCCTCCTTCAAAACCTCTTGCCTTCTCTTGAATCAGGGTCATAAGCCTCTAGTATCAGCTGATAATTTTTTTATTCTCCTGTGATTATATTACTGTGATTTAATAGACTTAGTGGAACTGTGTGGCTCATTCCTTCAGAACTCTGCATTATCTCGACTCTGCAACTTGGTCACTAAATTCTTCCAATGCATTCAGTCTTCAAAGATTATGTCTTCACCTTCCTTTGGTGTGCCCTTTTTCAAGATCTGTAATTGACAGTATTTTGTACCAAAATAATTTAATTTCTTAGGTAAAATAACCTCACTGTAGGTATTCAAAGTGCCTATGTGTACGTATATATGTATTCTCTGTGTAATAGTATAAATAAACTTGAATATTAAATAAGTATTAGTGTATCACTTTTGAATGCCCACTGAAGTTGGCTGGTGGCCCATTATTTCAGATGTTTGCAGTTTAACCAAAAAATGCTTGGTTCCCTTCTGTTTTGAAAAAGGGAAGATAGTTCTTGGGCTCTGAGGAAGATGTACAATTGGCCACCCACACTTTGGGAATCACTTCAGCTTAAAACAATAATAAGTAAGAGTATTTTGGATAATGAAAGAGAAGGTCAGATTGCTCTTTAAAGACTTGGAACAAATCAGTTGGGAATGTACCATAGCCAACCAAGGAGATTGAGGTTTGTGTGGTGAATGCCGAGTGTTTGGAGATGGACCCTAATCAAGCAACCTAAGAAATGCTGCATTGGTTACACCTTATGTATGAGTAATAGTGGTTTTTCAGTGTGCTTGTGTTTTATCTGGTGAAATTACTTTCATTAGGTAACAAATGAGATTCGCCTTCAGATTCCTGGAGGCAACTAAAAATGAGCATGAATGTACAGAGACAGATTAGTCCACTAGCAGGATGTGAGTAACTTGCATTTACTCAAGTGGCCATTAATCGTATCCTGTGGAGGGACAGTCCTCTTCATGGTGCCAGATCCTATTTCATAAGCTCAGCTGACTTGCACCAGTACAAATCAGCGCAGAAGATGACTCTTAACTCTTAACACTTTAAATACAAATCATCAGACAGTTTGTGAACCAGACCTGGGTTGCTGGTTTTTCCTCCTCAGCAAGAGTCATCCTAGTAGTTTTTCCTCTTGTGGTTTCATTTTAGTCACTTTAAGTACATTGGGGTATGTGGGAAAACCAGTAAATGCTGAAATCTAGTATACTTTCTTAAGTGCAGAGTCAAGGAATGCAGAAATGGGAAGAGAAGATAATCATTTGGAAGACTCAGTAGTTTGAGGTACTCGGTTTTGTGTTTGTATGATATTTTGTACATGTTTGACTCCTTTAAAAAACAAACAAAACTGTATCATTTACATGTTATAAAAAAGGCAGTACATAGTTGGGAATCAGATTTTCTTCAGGTGAAGTTAAAGCAAATAACTTCTGCTTGAGGTACTGCTAGCTAGTCAAATAAATGTTGATTGTTCAGTAGTAGAGTTCACAGCACTTTCCACATCAAGGGCTTTTTTATTTGAATTTGTAAGTGTTCATGTGATAACTCACGTCCTGTTATCACATCCTCATAAAACTACTTTGCTTACAGTAGAAGAGGAAATAGATATGAATTCTGGAAGGAAACTGTCAGGATTTCTGTCTTGCTTGATCATGATAATAGAGATTTAGCTAAGCAAATTCCTTTCCTTGCCTGAGTGATTGGACTGGGCTTTGAGCTGTCTTTCAAGAAAGTTAGAACCCTCTTAACCATAGGTAATGAGGAGGAAGGAGAGCTGTATCTGCACATGATGTGTGTTCTGTGGATGGCCATGTGTTGGGGACCAACATAGCTGTAATTTATACCACATTCTTCTTTCCTGAGGTAGGAGTAGAGCTGCTAGAGAGCAAAGCTATGTGTGTGTCCTGGACTCTCAAATGTAAGAGCTATATCTGGGTCTTTCATCTTGTTCAGTACTGAGAATAAGCTACTTAATCTCTCTGCAAAAAAAGTGTTTGCAAGACATGGTGCAGCATATACCTGGGATGAATGAAGAACTCAGATCTCATAGAGACTGCCTGCTTGGGATGATGATGATGATTTATTTTCACTTCTAAAGCAATAAAATTCACATCTTGAGCCTTCTTGTTGCACTGCTTTTTAAAGTTAGTATCAGTTAAAACTACATACCTTTCTCCTGCTCCTGGCCTGCTGTTGCTTGGTAACTCTTTTTTTTTTTCCCATTTTAATCCCTCACCGAATCAGCACAAAACTGTGGTTTGGTGAAGCCTCTCTCTGTCTGTGCCAGAAGCCATTTTGGTGGGAAATTAGTATAATTCAATGTCATTCCTTACAGTTTCAAATAGATTACTTGCAAACCAGTACTTTTGACTTGAATAAAATATCAGCACGTGTTAATTGTTATTTGAAACTATGTTGATCTCTAGGAGGGAACTGTGTTCTGTTTATGACCCTAACTTTTTTATCACCCTTTCCTAGAGTTCAGCAGTATTTTTGCAGATTAAACAAACCTGATCAGGGAACAGGTACAGGTTTGCCTCCAAGAGTCTTCCTTATAAGCATTAGCAACCTCTTAGACTTACAGTGATAGTGCCAGATAACTCCAGAGAGACTTTGTGTATTGAGTCTTGCACATGTGCAGACATGCAAGACTTTCAGAGAAGGTGCAGTGCTACGTAAAATTATCCAGGTCTGTTGAGAACACTGGGTTTTTTGATATAACTCTGAATGTTTTTTTCCACTTATCTCTTTCTGTCTGTACATATCTTCTCAGAAATGTAGGTTCTGATTCATGCCTGCATCACAGTTGTTAACTGATGAGTCCCTTTGCCATGAGTAGGAAAAACAAACCAGTACTACACATCACTCCTATTACAGTTTGCTTCTGGGAAAATTTCTATCAGTTGTTGGTGTGTCTGTTTGCTTCTCCTCTTCAGTGAACAGTCTCCTTTCCAATTCAGTAATCCATTCAAATGTCTTGCTGTTGTCCAAACTGATGTTGCTCTTTCAAACCTTACAGCTGTGTGCTGAGCAATCCTTGTGATACACCCATCAGAGAGGTCAGAGTCAAATCGTGTTCTTCTTCAGTGGTCACTTGAAGGTCTTCCCTAAAGTTACACACAAGACCTCCCAAAGACTCAGTTTTTCATAGTGTCCAAGGAAATATGCCTTCTACTTAATTTTTCTTTTTGTATAAAACAACTTTTATCATACTGTGTAATAGCTTTACTGTGCATGTTAAAATAAACTTCATGCTTCCTCTTCCCATCATTGCTTCTAGAATCTGACCCAAAATGATTTAAATCAGAAGGAACCTTTAAAGACAATCTAATTCCATCCTCCCTGCCACGGACAAGGACAGGGACCTTCCACTAAACCAGGTTGCTCGAATTCCATCCAACCTAGCCTTGAACACTTCCAGGGATGGGACATTCACAGGTTCTCTGGGCAGGCTGTTCACATGTGTACTTCCTGAATTGTGTTTAGTTGTGACACCTTGAAACTCATGCATGTGTTTGTAGTTTCAGTGTAATAACTAATAATCATAAAATGTTTAAAATCTGAACCAGTGAATTACTGAGAACCGAATGGGTGTTTGGCTAACAGCTTAAAAAGATCATCATTCTGCATAACTGATGTGGAGCATGTAGGTGCCACAGATGTAGATCCAAGCAGTAAATAAAACATAGGAGCTATCAAATGGCATTATCTTAGCATCTGACCAGTCTTCTGTGTTATTCCTTAGATTGAAATCAACTTTCAGCTTTGTTTATGTCCTGCTGAGAGATGCACAGCAGGCAGGAGGGCAGCTTGCTATATATTTCCTTTTTTGTTTGTTTGTTTTTCCCCAAGTTTTATGTTGAGACTTGTTAAATCCAATACAGTTACTAGGGACAAAGAAGTGAATTTGATAGGATCAAGGCTACCTGTGGCAGCTTTGACTGCTCTCTGACTCTTGTGTTGGAACACCAGCCCTGAGAAGAAGTAGTAAGCTCTTCTATATTCTTGTGAAGAGCTGGTTGAATCAGTGGGACTGTGTGTGATGATCTCATTAAGAA